GGTCGGCAATCTAGGCATAGTTGAAAACTTATTCATACTAATAAAGGGAGTCTACAAAAAATTGACAGTTAATATACTTAATTGTGAAAGATGAAATCATTTTCCCCTGAAACTGAAAACAAGTCAGGGATGCCCACTTTCAGCACTTTTATTAAACATTGTTCAGAAGGTCACAGCCATTGCAATAAAGTAAAAAAAAGAAAAGAAGACATAAAGACAGGACAGAAAGGAGTAAAACTGTCCCTATTTGTAGATGATAGGATTATTTACTTAGAAAATCTCAGGGAATCCAAAAAGATATAACAAATCCACAAAGAAATAGAAAATGATTTAAGCAAGGTCACATGATAAAAGGCTAATATAAAAGCAATTATATTTCTATATATCAGTAGTGAACTACTGGAAAAACGATACAATAAAAATGAAAAACAAACAACAAAAAGAAACCCCAAATCATAAATCCAAAACCATAACTAAACCCACTGCAGTCGACTCGATACCAATTTATAAAATCATAAATACCTCGGACTAAATCAAACAAAGAACAGCGAAGACCCCATCATGAAAACTGCTAAACATTGTTGATAGAAATTAAAGACCAAAAGGAATGGCAAGACACAAGTTACATGGATTGGAAGACTCAATATTGTTAAAATGGCAAATTTCCTCTAATTGATCCATAGATTCAATGCAATCTTAATCAAAATTCCACCATGTTTTTTCTGTAGAAATTGACAGACTTATTTTAAATTATATGTATAAATGCAAAGGACTAATACAGTAAAAGACACTGTAAAAAAAGAAAAACAAAGCTGAATGGTTTACGCTACCTGATAAAAAGACTATAAAGAGCTTTAAATTATATGTATAAATGCAAAGGACTAGTACAGTAAAAGACACTGTAAAAAAAGAAAAACAAAGCTGAATGGTTTACGCTACCTGATAAAAAGACTATAAAGAGCTACAGCAATCAAAACAACTTCAAACATAATATGTATATAAAGATAATATATAGATCAATGTAATGGAATAAAAAGTCCATAAAACAGATTGCCACATATATAGTCAAGTGATTTAACAAAGATGCCAAAGCAATTCAATGGGGAAAAGAAAATCTTCTCAACAAATGGTGTTGTGTCAACCAGACATCCATACAGAAAAAAAATGACATAGACTTTTATATCACACCAAGCACAAATAATAACTCAAAATGGATTACAGACCTCAAAAAAATCTAAAAGTATAAAATACAAGAGAAAAATCTTTGCAATTTTGAGGTCGTATAAAAGGTGCAAATGATAAAAGATATTGGAACATTTAAAAAAAATGCAGAAGCTCCAAAAATATATACTGGATTTTTTGTCCTGATCAAAAGGAGGAAAATGCAGAACAGAATTTACAATTATCATGGAATCCAGCCTTTCTGGAGCCATGAAGGCTGGATGAACCCGTGAAACTACTGCCCTGAGATAATCTTGAAAACTTAAACCAAAAATATCACCTGAAGTCTTCTTGTAAACAAACAACAGTTTAGCTTAAGTAGTAAATAATGTCTGTCTTGAGCATTACGCTCTTTTAAGAAATGTCTACATGAGATCAAAGTGACGACGACAACTCAAAAGATTAGATAGAAACCTTAGGGGGAAGTGAGTTTATGTTAATGGGGAAGGAACAACTCAGAAAAAGAGGGTGAGAATGGTTGCACAACTTGAAGAATTTAATCAATGTCACCGAACTTTAACATGTAGAAACTGTTGAACTGATGTATGTTTTGCTGAGTATATTCTCAACAACAATAACAAAAAGATATTGAATGTCAGACCTGCTCAAGGAAGACCTGCTCATCTACCCTTGGAGGGGTTCAGAAGATACCTTTCACACCATGACTGTGAGAAATAAATTTCTAAGGGGAGTTCTAGCATCCTTGAGGAGTTCTCTAGTTGCTCATCTCTATATAGGTCAGAATTTAGAGTGGGAACTATTACCATTGAATTGGGATCCCCATATAGAATGGGAATAATAGGATTCAGGGGTGGTAGGGGCAAAGTGGCAGCACTTAATCATCAAGACAAATGTTATCACTATTCACCTTGTTTCACAAGCAAAATATTATGGGGATTATCTGCAATGATTTTTCCCTCTCACTCATCAATGACAATTTAATCCATTCAATGCACTGAATTTCTGCTAAGAGGGGATAAAAAAAAAAAAAGATGAATGTTTCATGGTTCTCAAAGAGCTCACATTCTAGCAGTAAAGCTTCATATGTATAAGTAACTCTATTACAGTGTAAGTTTCACAAAAGATGAAATTATACTATGAGAATAAAGAGGGAACGATACTTTTCTGAAAGTTAAAATAAGCATAATGAAAAACTTTAGAGAAATGGTATTATTTGAATTAAGCCATTAAAAAAGAAAAGAGAGAGAAAATAAGTGGTGGAAAGGTCTTTCCAGAAATAACGTAAGCCAATGGTACAGTGGAAAAGGTATTCCTTCTCTTATGCAAGGCTTAATCCCAACCACTTCCTCACCTCTAAGCCATTATACATTTTCAGCTACTTCTCTAGAAATGCTTTCAACCAAGGTCACCAATAAATAACACTCTATTATATCCAATAGAAGAAGCCCTGGTGATGCAACGGTTAACCGCTTGGCTGCTAACAGGAAGGTTAGTGGTTTAAACTCACCAACCGCTCTGTGGAAGAAAAGACCTGGTGACCTGCTCCTGTAAAGATTAGAGTTTAGGAAACCCTATGGGGCAGTTCTACCATGTCCTACAGAGTCACTAAGTCAGAATCAACTCGATGGCACACAACAACATATCCAGTGGATACTTTCTTTAGATCCTGTAGAGGAATTTGGGACTAGTTGATTATATTTTTCCTAGGTTTCAAGAAGTACATATTCATCTGAATCTTATTCCTCTTTCTCTGGTGGTTCTTTCTCACTTCTCTTTGTTCTTATTTTCCCCACTAGGGCTTTGATATTATCCCTCTATAAACATTCTTTCTACTGCTATCATCCATTCTCTTAGCTTCTACCATTAAATGGCTATTCTGGGAAATCCTTCATCAAATTCCTCTTTCAGGGCTTAAAAAAGCTCTATAATATATTCTCCACGTAAGTATTGATTTTTTTTAGCCTTTATTGGGAGCCCGGGTGGCACAGTAGTTAAGAGCTTCGCTGCCAACCAAAAAGTTGGAAATACAAATCCACCAGCCACTCCCTGGAAACTCTATGGGGTAGTTCTACTCTGTCCTATACGGTCGCTATGAGTTGGAATTGACTTGATGGCAATGGGTTTGTTTGTTTGTTTTAATTGGGAGAAACAAATAGCATTAACCACGATTATTATGTGTTATTAAAGTGAGTCACAACACGATATATATGTACCTTTGTCACAGATAAATTCCAAATGTTGAATAAATTGATGACATAATGTGTATTTAATCTCTAATACCAACATTAAGACTAGAGAGGGACCTGACCATTGTATCAATCACAAATGAAGTAATGTAGTTTGGACTGTGTACCTCATCACAGAAAATAATATCTAAGCTACAGATTGTACTAGAAAGATAAACACATCTCTACCTACACCTCTTTGAAATTGCTGACCAGTAGTAGAAATGAAATGTGTCCATCTTCACCAAAATGAAAGACAGAAATAGGGATCTATATCTGCTTAGACTTTGGAAAAAAAATTACAACAGATGTCTACAATCAGTGAGGGTGTTATTTAAATAATGTTTAATATTGTTTGGAGGAAAGAATAAAATGATAATTAAAAAAAAAAGAAAACTAACTAGTCTTTGTTTCCTGATGCTATCTTATTGCTCATTTAAAAAGAGCCACAGGTAGGTCTAGCCTAGAGAAGAGTGTTATCCCTGATTTTAGCAAGGTCAAAAGACAATAACGGTGAGTCCTAGATTTGTATCTCTAGCCAAGACTCCTTTGTTCTGTATTGTTGGCTACTGTATACATATGCGATGTTAACTACCTGAGGGTGGGCATTTTGCCCATTTTTGCTCACTACTCTATCCCCAAAGCATGGGAGAGTGTTTGGGGCACACAGCAGGCAGTAATTCTTGTTTTTAATAACTAATTAATCCAATTTGCTATGTCCAATTTGTTTTCACTAGACAGAGTTCATAATGAGCACACAGAGCTGTTCTGTTCATGTTTGAATATCTAGCTTATAATACTATTCTAACTGTATAACTGTCATTTCATGAACACATTTTTATTACACGAATGAATTACCAGCAACTGTGAAGTCCTTTATATACATGAGATTTAATAACACAATTTTCATTGAGTCTTTTTCTTCCTTAGTTCCAAGATTTCCATACTCTTTTTATTTACACCTGTGTTCCGACTGTTTTCCTTCACCCAAGTAATCTCCCTCTATTCCAACATTTCTTGTCCTATTGAATGGAGTCCTTATCCTGTTTGTATTGAAACTAATTCTATATCCATCTAATTTCACTTATTCAAACCTCTTAGGAAAGGTGCTAACATTCAGTGACAACAGATCTGAGCTTAGACATTATAGTTACACTTTCAGACTTTTTACCATTGTCCCTACAATTCTGCCAGGAAGCACTGTTTACAAATAGAATAACCAAAACTAAAAACTAGAATATCTTCAGAATACAAAAAGAAAAGCAAGTTTATTAAATATTTCACACACAAACACTAAACATTTCACACACACATATACAGTTCTTACGTATCACCAGTATACACTAGCTAAAAGGACAAAGTTCTGCAAGAAGACATACAATAAATACTTCTTTTGGGGATGGTATTCTATTTATGACTATTTTAGCAAAACAATGTGAACATAAGCCATTGGCTAGTAACAGAAAGAGCCTCATTAAACAGAACTGATTGTTAGAATAAAATTTGTTAAGTAAAATTCTACTGTCTCTCTTCAATTTACCTGTCAAGGACTTAGACATCCTAATTCACTGAATTAAATGGCTGAATACTTACCTTCGAGGATGGTTGGCATCAAACAATGTGTTATCATCATCCTCATCATCTTGTTCTAAAGGTGTCAATTCCATGTTTTCTATGTTAGTATCCAAAACTCCGTATCTCCTTGTCTTTCGATTTCTTCTTCTCATCCTATTAGAACAATTTAAAACATAAAAATAATTTAATATAGATGATCTTTATTTTACATTTACCTGTAAATTAAAAAAAAAAAATTAGTCTATTCCTCTATCTTTGACATAAGAGGAACCCAATACCAAAGCTGTATCTCAGGAATACAATCTATGTACTGTTTAGGATTACTTGTAATTCATGAAACAAAAGCCACTCCTACATGTTTGTATGTCATCACTGTTTCTTCTGTCTGATACACTCTCTTCTCCCTCTGTCAACCCATGGTGATGACAGATAATCCTTTAAGTCTTAGTTCAGGTAACACATCTTTACAGAAGCTTTCTATCCTTGCCATTTTCCCACCTCCTCCATGGCTTCTCACTGAGATGTAAGGTTAGGGACTCTCTGCCTCAGTAAGAAATGCATTTATATACATACTCAAACTCTAGATCAGCAGTTCACACCTCTGGCTGCACATCTGAATTACCTGCGGTAGTTTGAAGTCTCAAGCTCAGGCTACACCCCCACACCAACAAAATTACAATGCATAGGAATATACACTAGGCATCAATATTGTCTTAAAGTTTTACAAGTGATTCCAATACGCTACAAACCACTACCCTAGATCAGTGATTCTAGAAGTATGCTACCCTGGATCAGCAAAATCAGCATCACTGAGGAATTTATTAGAAATGCAAATCCTTGAGACCCATCCCAGACTTAATGAATAAGAAGTTTTGAAGGTGGGGCCCAACAATTTGTTTTTAACAAGTGGTTCTTGTGATCATTTGGTACATGCTAAAGTTTGAGAACCACTGCCTTAGAGGAATGAAATGTTTTTAAACTACTAACCATTAATTGTTGTCAGCTGTATACATGAAAGGGTCTCATGACTTGGAGCCTTACTGTTTCTCTCACAAATAACCTGCTCTTTTCCTTCCAACCATTTATTTCAATTTTAATTTATATATACATGCATTCAGTAAATATTTATTTTACTATGCATCAGGCCCTGTGCTAGCTTCTGAGTGTAAAGTACTTCATCTCGGTGATCAAAATCTACAAATTGTTAACCCTGGATAAAAACCAAGAAAATTTCCACCCATCACTTGCTACTATCTATCTATATATCCAAAGGTGATGGAACAGGTAACAGGTTTAATTACAGTATTTAAAGATACAAATATAACCGAAAAAATAGTCAATATTACAATTTTAACCATCAAAAAAAGAGAAAAGTAGATTGGTGCCAGTATAAAGTACAAGCTAGAGTATGTTTTTATAATGAGAACTTTTTAATGTTTAAGCTGTTAAATTAAAAAGTACACACACACATACAAACACATGCACCCCATGCTAGAGGGCTAAGCTTTTTCTGTAAAGGATGAGACAGTAAATACCATAGGCTCTCTGGACCACATATCGTCTCTGTCCCATATTCTTCTTTTGTTTTTTTAATGGCTCTTTTAAAATATTAAAAACCATTCTTAGCTCATATTAAGAAAACAAAACAAAAAAAAAAAAAAAACCTTTGCTGTCAAGTCAGTTCCAACTCACAGCAACCCTACAGGACAGAGCAGAACCACCCCACAGGGTTTCCAAGGAGTGGCTGGTGGATTCGAACTGCCAACCTTTTGGTTAGCAGCCGAGTTTTTAACCACTGTGTCACCAGGGCTCTCTCAGCTCAGAGGCCTTAGAAAAACTGGTCAGTGGATGGGATATGGCCCATAGGCCACAGTTTGCCAACTCCTGATTTAGCCTTATGAAAGAAAGCAACAGAATAGGAAATGGATAAAAGCAGTACCTCTGAAAAGTGGGAATGGAAAGGGATATAGGGCAGTTAGTTCACTGTAGGTCCTTTAGAACCACATGATTTAATGATATTTGCATGTATTACTTTGATTTGAAAAAGAAAATAGAGTAAAACCACTTGGCAAAAAAAGTTAAGGATATTGATTATAATGTCCCCTCTTGCCTTCTGCTAGTCTATTGACCAATTTTCTAAACCATATGACTTCCCAAACTTTCTGGCATTTGCAGTCTACAAAAAAGAAATTAATGCCATGTGAAGATATTTTTGGAGATAATCTAGATTCTCCGAAGTCATATATACATACTGAATAGTGAATATGTTAACTTGTGGTCATTGCCAGTAACAGGATATCTTGGCAAGTCTTAAAATAGGGAATGACATGAACATAGAACTTAAGGACTTTTGAGATTTGTCTCAGCTGACATTCTTCTCCACTCCAGAGGTCTCCATCATAATTTGAATAAAGTCCCAGTCTTTCAATGAGTGGCTAAACCAATCTGCCTAAAAACACTATTTTCCCTATCTGTATATAGTGTAAGCCATTTGACTGCATGGGTTTGGGCACTTTTTATTATTTATTGTAGCTCATGTTGTCCTTTAGTTTTAATCATGTATATAAGTACTATCTTCCAAACATGAATCCAACTTCTTTAAAAACAAGAATGTATTTCACATACATATAGCACATTGCTAGGCACCAAATGAATTAGTGATATATTTCAATTTAAATGAATTTATTACTTTGGTAGAAGTTAACTAATTCATACACCAAAACTCGTTGCCATCGACTCGATTCCGACTCACAGCGACCCTACAGGACAGAATAGAATTGCCCGAGAGCGTTTCCAAGGAGCAGCTGGTAGATTCGAACCTCTGACCTTTATGATTAGCAGCCATAGCTCTTAACCACTGAGCTACCAGGGCTCCAGGATTTATACAAGAATGAATCAAATTAAAAAAAATAAAACAAAACTGTATATTGTTAAGAAGATTAATGGGCTTTATTGCTAACCTAAAGGTTGCAAGTTCAGACCCACCCAGTGGTACTACAAAAGAAAAGGGCTGGGAATCTGCTTCTGACAAGACTGCATCCAAGAAAACCTTATGAAGCAGTTTTACTCTATAACACATGGGGTAGCCATGAGTCAGAACTGACTCAATGGCAACTAACAACAACAACAATTGTTAAAGAGAACAAACTTGAAATGTTACCTCTCCAAAAATGTCTTTCCTCAGTATAAAGTGATGGGTATATGGTTATGACAGCTAAAGGGCATAAAAACATCAAATAATAAAACATATATATTACCATATGTAGTGATTGCTCTCAGGGAAGACCAAAAACACTTATAAATTTTTAAAATTATCGTGCTAATGCAATGAACTGTCTACTTAAAATACAAACAATCACTAAGTGTAAAATACAATACACATAAAAATATTCTAAAATTTTAAGTAAAAAGGCTACTCCTATCTTTTAATATGCTGTGTACATTATTTTTAAACAAGAGAAAAATTCATGCATTAACAGCCATGGTGCTTTTCTTACAAATGAATGTTTTCATTAAGCTCATCATAACCCAACATTATCTATATGTGTGTTGATAATTACACTCATATAATTACATATATACACACACACATATACACACGCACACACACGCACACTTTTCTACTAGACACATACATAGTAATTGTATATTGCAATCAGAAAACAAACTTGTGTTGGCTCCTAATGAACATAAAAATAAGGACTTTATATATAAATGGGTAGAGAGGGAAGTATGAAAGCCTGAGAGTGTAAAAGGAGAAATTTATATGGTTTATTATTTTGAATTAAATTCACTCATCATATGGCAGGCATGAATAAGTGACCCTGATCAGATCCCTTCTGGGTATTCTAATCTTATTATTATTCAAACAGTTGTCTTAATAAAGATGCATATTCTTTATCCATTCTATTCAGGTTGGTAAGAACAATTTCTGTTTAGATAACATGTATAAGCTGCAGTATAAAAATAAAACTAAATTACTAAAGTAAGCTCAATAAAATTTTATGTAAAAATGTACAATGCCACATAAAATACATACAACAGAATAAAAGTCTGTTTCATTTTACTACTCTTTGAAAGTAAGGAAACCGATCAATGTAACTTGCTGTACTTATCTGATTCATATCTCTTTTTCCTCGTTTTCTTTTAACTGAATATTTATGGGGTATATATTAAGAATGGAATCATATAAGTAATATTATTCCTTAATTTGTCCTACAGCACATTCAAAACTACACTGGGGAATATATTATTTACTATAACGTGTATGCACACATGTGCGTGTTGGCGCAAAATATTTAATCCCTCGACTACTAGCCGAAAAACTGGTGGTTCAAACCCACCCAGAGACACCTTCAAAGACAGGCCTGGCAATCTGCTTCCAAAAGGTAATAGCCCACAGCTTATAAAGACAATGCTCTACATTCTACCTTGGTGAGTAGTGTCTGGGGTCTTAAAAGCCTGTGAGTGGCCATCTAAGATACTCCACTG